CCGATTCTCCGCTTGCTAGATTACCACGAAATACGTAAGGCCCAGAATCAGTGAATGATGGTGGATTTTGAATTTCAATGCTTGCATCCGATGCAATCGTTGGATGATTCATAGCATTACCGTGAGCACAACTTAAATCTGGTGTTTCCAGCTGTTTTTTTACATTTTCTGTGGAACACTTATCAGGTAGACTGGCAGCTTCACTTGAGTTCAGCCGGGTTTGTAGAATACTCTTTGAAGTGATACTCGGTTGCATATCTAATTCAGGTTCTACAAATAGCCATCTTACTACCAGACCATATGGCTGTACTGTTTGATGCATTGTTTTCTGTTCGTAACCCGTCGCTATGACTTCATGAATATACTGTTCCCAAAGACTAAACGCTTCCTTCGAATCACGTTCTGGAGTCAGCTTCGGATTAAATAATGGGACTTTATTTGCCACCAGACGTTGAGCCAAAGCCAAAATCGTGTGCAGAGCCATCCACTCCATTTGCATGAATGGCTCCGAATTATGCATCAACATATACCACTGATCTTCTGCATTTGAATCTAGCCACACGGGACGAGTGAGCCGAGAAAACAGGTGTGCGTGCCCAACAGACAATGACACATCGTTTGACAAGATGCCGTGAATTTCTGTGTGAAAGAGCACATTGAGCACTTTGAGAGTATCATAAAGACTAGCCTGTAAACCAGCCAATATAAACAAACTGCGCAGTGTGTAAAAGAAGACACTAGACACCGGAGAAAGGACATTTTCGAAACTCGTATTGGTCCAGCACCTCAAAATCTGACTCAAAATTTTTGAAGCAAAGGGTGACATCCTTGGCAATAGCTCAATGGGTTCATTCGAGTTCAAGCCCGAAGAGAGAGGCTGATCTAAAGACATCCTCGGGAAATAGGAACGATTCCCTAGAATAACCTCAGCTTCTGATTGACGTGGTGTGAAGATTGGTCCCATAGCTGTGCAAAGAAATAGTTGATTTGGACCTTCCATTCGATCACCCTGATTTGTTGGCCGCTTGTATTCATCCAGTTGAGACCAACTGCTCGGATCAATCATGGATTGCTCTATGCAATCAAAGCCGCACATTTGATTGACAGCAAAATGTAGCCCACTTCCCTCCACCACATCAGCATGTTTCTTCTTATCGCTCAGTTCCTCCTGAACTTTAAAACTCGAATGACTCCTTGAATTGATGGATTTCTGTCGACTCTCACTACGAGAGTGTTGTATAACAGGACGCACAATTTTCATCTTCATTTTTTCCTTAGTCAATGAATTAGTTTGTTTAGAGGGAACAAATACAGACGATAACTGACTGGCAGCATCCAATGTAGTTTCATTTAGTCGTTTTATAGATTCTTCAGAATTGGAAGTTGGACTTGAAAAAGAAAATGAAGTAGAACTTGTGTGTTCAAATGACGTTGGGATTTCTGGTGAGCATTGGGATTCCAACACTGATTGTTCAAACGAGTTGGAACGTCCTTCCATAGAATGAGACTCAAGTTTTCTATGGAAAATGGGCTCTGGTTCCGGAGATTCTGGTCGACAAGGATAACTGCTATCAGTCAGATGTGCCGTATTTGGTGAGGTTCTGGATTTTTGCATCAGTATGTTCAAGTGATTTCGCCTCCTAACAGGCCCTTCGGTGCTTCCTTCTCTGAATGCCGGGCTGACTGACTGACGACCACCACTATCACTGATTATAGGAATAACGCCGTGATTTAATGGAATCTCCAGGAAGTGATCGGATATAATTACGCCGTCTTCACTCTGTTTCCGCAAGTTGTCACTGTAAGGAAAATCACCCGTTCTTATACACTGCTCTGGAATGTTTGAATGCACTACTTTCAAAGTTGGTTGTACCGCTGTTCCCTCGATATCATTATAAGGATCTATCTCTGTTCCACCCTGAGATTTTACCTGTGGTTGTTGTTCCAACTCTCTTCTTGCAGCTACAATCTTTGAAGACTCCAATATGTCTGATTGATTTTTTTCATGTCCCACCAGTGTGGGAACCACTGGATCAAAGGTATTATCGATAAAATCATTTCTAGACTGACTTCTCAAATAGGATAGGGCGCGATACACCTTGTCATCGTTACTATCATGAAGCTCTGTTATTACAGGTAAATTTTCCGAAACAGAGCATTCCACCTTTAAATCGTAATCATCACTGTTCTCGACGGTTCTGGTTAATTTATTTCGAGGTTCAAAATACAAATCCTCAGACGCTTTAAACATGCCCTCGTAAGTTGCACTCTTTCTCAAGAGCATCTTAGGTAAGCTATTTGACTCTTTGGTGCGTTTGTTAAACACTCCTCGAAGATCAGATGCAGGTCTATTCGTGTGATTTTTCAGACCACTTTGATGAATTGTACTACCTCTGAGCTCACCAAATTTCCCTCTCGTTATATCCATAGTCGATATCCTGCCGACATCCTGGGTCTTCTGTTGAAAACACTTTTTATCATTCAAACCAACTCGTTCATCTTCGTTGTGCTGCTTAACAAATTGACTGGATCGTTCCTTCTCACGTTTACCGTGAATATTTGTCGAACCTTGAGCATAAAAAATAGATTGCTGTGCCTCAACACCAGCCACCATTGTTTCCCTTAATCTCTGAGTGGATGTTTCCCAAGGAAGCCATTCTTTAGAGGCATGTGGTGTGCAAAGTAACGGTTGCCATGGTCTACCATCCACATCCGTAACTCTGCGTCGTCTGGTATGTACCGCTTCCTCTAAATAAGATATATTTTCTGGCCGAATAGGTCGCACGTTAATTCGAACCGGGGATTGAGTTATTTCGAGGCTCGTATCAGTAATCGGTTTCACTGACCTTTCATCCCTCGATCTATCTGTGCCGTTGAGAAACCCTGCAGGATCATGGTCACTGAAATGTACTTCCGACAATGGACAGGCATCGCATAATACGTCCTTCCACCTTCCAGAACTTGTCGACCGAAGCCGATTAGGTTTGACGAAGTTACCCCTAGTAGGTGCTAACTTCAATAATTTTGTAGCCATAATACTGCAAAATGGACCAGATGGATAGTTATTTGGTGTTTGTAGTCGCTGGTGATGAATACTTTGAGAATCTTCAGTCACGCCAGCTGGAACATTTTTGATTTCATCTAACTGGGGTTCTGTGAGACTTTCACCACCAACTATTTTGGAAAGAGAAGAAAAATGTGGTTGCGTATCTGAATGGCATTTGGGATGAACAAATTCCTCATTATTAATAAATTTATTAGTTTTTCGTGCCATTCGTGGTTCCCTAACTGATTTCACAGACATTCCTTTGTCGTCTACTGC